TACAACTCATGATTCTTTTTTATTGTCCTAAGATTAGCCTATTTAGTTTTAATCATTTCCAAGGAGGGTCGATGGAGACTATAATATAGTCAGACTGTCTCCATTTCACAACTTGTCAATTGCAGCAGTCTTGGTACACCAACCAGAAATGAAGCCATTAAAATATTGTTAAAGGGAGTTGATTAGGTGCATTTTAACTGGCAATGGTACATAAAACATATATTTCTAATTTATAGTTATCACCATATATTTCCCTCAAAGGGCAGGAAAGAAATTTTCAATACCTTAAGTAAAAGTAATGTATTAGAGTGAGAGAAAATAAATAACATTTTAAAAATGCAAGCTTAAAACACCATTTGGATGAAAAATAAAACTCACTGCGGTATAATTAAAGTCAAAGGTTATTTGTGTGGAATGCATGATGTCGACTCAAGTAACATGTAGAGAAAGTGCTGCTATGACTAAGGTTGGAGAGGTCCATTGATTCCATTCCTGGTCTCTCATTTCCACTGGTCATAGCAAGGTTTCAATTTTAGCAGGGCAATGATATAATTAATTACGTAGGCTCAGGCTATATTTAGTTTAGTTTTAGAAACATGTTAACTGTGTTTCCTTAGTTAACAAATAATAACTTGCCTTTTTTTTCTATCCAAAACAAGGCTGGAAAGCTCATTGACAAAAAGATTTAGACGAGGCAAATACACATAAAACTAACCTTCCTAAACGCTATTACACACATAAAAATTTGAGGAAAGGCAAAAACACTAAAACTCTGTCAAGTATTATCTTTAAGTACTGTGCAAGCAACAATTTAACTCCGGAGAAAAGGATTATTCATGAATTGTCCAGAATAGTATTCTGTTCTCAAAATTAGGTGCATACACACACTTTTGACACTGAGAAATCTTGCTAGGTCTGGTATAAACAACATAATTATCTTTCTTGACACAGCAAGTTAGGTTTGTAACCTTCTTTAGGAATCCACCACAAGTGGTGAAGATGAATTGCAGTATGTTTTCAGCATATATCTTCTAATGAGAAGAGTTGCAGAGCAAAACAGAGATGCAAAAGATTGTTGGTCCTCAGGCATTTCATATTTTCTCTGATTTTCTGGATCAAAATTCAATAGTTTTATTTTATCTACAAACATGACATCTCTTTGAAAGTCTTGTGGATCAGATATCTTCAACTGTAATTATATTTCTTGCAGACACAACATTGTTTTTGATGTATCTAGTGTCTTTTTCTCTTGCAAAATTTCCTTGTCAATGGCTCAAGATAAATATTTAGTTAGGTTCTGTCAATGTTATTAGAAGTAAATATTTGGATCGCTCATCCTCATAGCATTAGATCCATATGAAGTGTGTGCTTCCGAGTGTTAATGAGACAACATTCCACAGCAGAGGTAGTAGGAACTGCAGATGCCGGAAAATCCGAGACAGCAAGCTGCATAGCTGGATGAACACAGCAGGCCAAGCAGCATCACAGGAGCAGAAAGGCTTTTTTTTCTTGACGTTTTGGGCCTAGATCCTTCATCAGAAATGGGGGAGGGGAAGGGGGTTCTGAAATAAATAGGGAGAGAGAGGGAGGTGGATAGAAGATGGATAGAGGAGAAGATAGGTGGAGAGAAAACAGATAGGTCAAAGAGGTGGGGATGGAGCCAGTAAAGGTGAGTGTAGGTGGGGAGGTAGGGAGGAGATAGGTCAGTCCAGGGAGGATGGACAGGTCAAGGGGGTGGGATGAGGTTAGTAGGTAGGAAATGGGGGTGCGGCTTGAGGTGGGGTTTTTTTTTGACGTTTTGGGCCTGCCTGCTCCTGTGATGCTGCTTGGCCTGCTTTGTTCATCCAGCTCTGCACCTTGTTGTCTCGAACATTCCACAGCATTTTGGAGGCAGACGAGTTCCTGGAGCAGATGAATGAAGAGGATAATCACTTCATTGGATTTTGGAAGTTGAAAAGTGGTGAAGGGAAATTTAATTACCATTGGCAGGGTAAATAGGAAGAAACAAGTAGGGTAGAAATAGGATCATCTATAAGGCAGGATTTTTCTAATAGCTGTAAGTTTCTTATTCTTTTTAGGTACCAGTGAAATGGAAAGGAATGGCAACGCAGAGGGAGGGAAAATAATGGCACTGAAGATTGACTGGTTACCCACAATATATACTGCAATAATTGACGTGGTAATTATGAGGAATTCTACAGTTGAGGATTGGGGATTGATACATTATTTTACAAGCATGATCCTGAGTCTTGAATGTTACATTGCTTCCTGTGTACCAGTGATAAGTACACCAAGGACTGAACACCAATGTCCCGGAAAAGGTGAACAGGCAGCCTCAATGGGGTGATTTCTGTGGGAATCAATTAAGGCAGATAGGTTCCACATTCTGCAAAGGCATATCATTTAAAATTAAGGAGCAAAATTCCCAGGTTGGGGTAATCTTTGGATTACTCAGTGTCACCAATTTGATTAAACAGTGTAAGAAAGGAAAGAAGCATCAATGAACATTGGAAGGGGAAATGGACTAGGGCAGAGTTTTATGGCATTGGGAATGATTTTGGGGACCAGGTGAAATGCTCTTCATTTGAACCAGATAGATTCTCATGTCTTTGTGCAGAGGCTAACTGGGAGTAAAAAGTACTGATTAGAGAAATGGAAATGACAGGGGAATAAACATCACAATAGGCTAAAAAGTGTGAGATAAAGATTAATATGACATATTGGCAATTTTGGGAAAGTGTGCCAAGTAAGATTTCTCTTTTCAAATACATTTCACATTTGATATAAAACAATTAAGTTAGAAACATAAATTCAGTTTTAAAAATCAAGCTTTTTAAAAATCAGATTTCAGCCATTGCAGGGATCTCACTACAAGACTGGCATGATTGTGAGATATATTTTCTAGGCTTAGAAAACATTTACCAAGGACAAAGAAATTTGGAAAGGAGGGGGAGTCGAAATATTGATTAAAGGTGCAATTTCAGCAAAAGAAACCAGGGCTTTTGGAAAGAGTAATCAGGCAGTGAATACATTAAACTAAGAGTGAAGGATAAACAAAGGATGCAAAATTGAATAGGAGCTTCTAACATTCTGATGGTAGCAATGTAGTAGGAATATATATCTGTTGAGGTCAGGGAAATGTAGTCACAATTATGTGGTATAATTGGAGTATAATTTTCACCTCGACATGAGGCAGGCAGTACAGATCAAGGAGTCAATGCATTTGGAATAGTTCTGTAATATAATATATTTTAGAATTAGAAAGATCAAGAACATACTAGATTTAGTGATGAGTGCCATACAAGAATTAGTTACCAGTCTAAGGTAGCAGGTTGCAAAGAGTGACAATAGTCTGATTGCATTTAATGTTAGGTTATAGAGGATGAGTCATAAATCAAGGTTTTAAATTTCTGTAAGGCAAACAAGAAAGGAATAAGAGAATTGAATGAATTAACCCACAGAAAAACAGGCCAAACAGATAATGTGTATAATTACGAGTAGGAAGTCTTCAAAGTAAGTATCTGGTACTGTATAAAACTATAAAGAGGCCTAAGCTCCATTGTGAAATTCATCTGCCATCATTAACAAGTAGAAGTATGAGACATTATCAAGTTGATAAAGGTTAACATCAAAGCAAGGAAAGGTGAAAGCCCAGTAGATGTGGTAGCTCTCAACTACAAGAGAGGGATACAGAAAATAAATGCGTTATGCCTTGAGGTCAGTATGTCGGTATATCTTTATGGCACATTCTCATGATATGATCATTCTCCCATAGCATGAGATCTGAGGGTATAAAAATCACAAACTTCACCTAATGCTGGGATCACTTGAAGCTCAACATGCTACTAGTAGCATGCTTTTCAGTTGTAATATAGTAGATTAATTTTAACTCAGACACTTTTGGCCTGTGAATGTAAATATTGTGCATAATAGTTAGTTATAAAAAATAGCTCTGCTACAAATTTACAATAGCAGGATATTTGTTCACATTTTCTGGATGATAACATAAGCATTGCCACATGAGGTAAAATACCCTACTGGAGGCAAACTCAACAAAAATAAGATGTCCAAAAACAAATATAAAAACAATTTGCAAGGCAAAGCAACAGTCAGGTTTCATAAATAAACATATTACGAGACAGAGTGGTAAAGGGTAATGTAGATGTATTAAAGACTAACACAGTTTTTTTTTCATTTCTGCAGAGAAAAACAATGGCAAAGTATCAAAGGAAATAAAAAAAACAAACTGGTTAACTTAATGAAGCTATTACAAGTTATTAAAAATGGTAATGGAAAAATGATGTCAAACACATTTTTATAATCCAGCTTTATCAGTTAATTGCGAGAATTTTGAATTTTTCATCAGAAACTGAAAACTTAGACTTATGAGTGAACTAGTTTCAGTGTAAATTTGTGGTGAGAAGATCACATCTGACTCATCTAGTTAAGTACTTTGATGACATTACTAATATGACAATTAACAGGGAATGAATAGATGTTATCAGTAAGGGCTTCCAGTAAATATTTAATATAATTCTGCACTAATTATTACAAAAAGCAAAGGAGCGCAGAATTAGAGCTGGCCTTATTACATGGCTTTGGTTGGGATGTAGAAAACAAGGTGTAAGAATTAAAATAAAAGTTCTCTGATTAATGAGATGTGACAAGTTAAATGCCCCAGGGATGATAATGGAGTTTCACTTTGTCATCATTGGAATGATCAATTGTTCGCTGTTCAACTATATGCGTCTGGAATCTGTTTTGTATTTACTGTTTGAGTGTTTAGTAAATGAACGGTTTTTTTGTATTTATTCATGGGATATAAATGTTATTGGTTCAGCCAGCATTTATTTCCCATCCCTAAATGCCTTTGAGAAGGTGATGTGCACTGGCTCCTTGAATTGCTGCAGTCCTTGGAGTGCAGAAACATCCACAGTGCCATTAGGGAGGGAATTCCAGGATGTTAATTCAGCAACATTAAAGGAACAGTAATATTTTACCTAGTCAGGATGGTGATTTGCTTGGAGGGGAACTAGAAGTTGTTGCCCTTGTTCTTCTAGAGGGCAGAGGTTATGCATTTGAATGATGCTGCTGAAGGAGCCTTGGTGAGTTGAACTGAGAAAGATAAACTAAATTGTTGGTAAGGAGCTGTAAGAATGAGAGCAGATATTTTAAAGCATTGAATAAAACTCCTGAGCCACACGTATCTCTGAAACAAAGCATAAAAATCATACTTTAATATTTAAAATCATATTTCATATTTAAGTTAGGAGGCATGGTGTAGCTGGGAGCAGAAATTTGCAGTATGTGAGAGCCTGACTAAACAACCGGACAATGCTATCAGAAAAACAGTTCACAGTGACTCGCATGAGATCTGCCACCATGGATCCAGGACAGACTATAATGAAAGATTCAGAACCCATGAGCAGAAAGGCAACTACAGATCCATGGTCACAAAGCATGAGAAATTGTACAGATACAAAAAGTAATGAAAAAAAATGCACTTTGGCCTTTTTCTCAAGGAGTTTGGGAAACGGATGTGAGAGCATAAACAGGAGTAGGATTAGCAATAAGGTCCCATGAGGCAATCAACAAAATCATAGCTGAACCTTTGTATCAAATTCACTTTCCTGCCCTCTTCCCCATGTCCCTCGATTCTCTCTAGTGCCTCTCATTCCATTTTAATTTAGCCTCTTTCTCTATTCCGACCCTCTCTTTATTTTTTTTTATTATTGTTACCTTGCCCCTGGTGTGCAGTGCTTGCAATTTGTCATTTGTTTTAATTTGTTAACTGGGCAATTTGGTGATCGGTTTATAAACATAAATAAAAGAGCAAGTAGGAGGGGTCTTGTGTGACAGTGGTAATGTCGCTATGTTTGGGCTACGATGCCAGTGGTGAAATCCCACCTTCTCCAGAGGTGTGTAATAACATCCCTGAACAGGTTGATTCGGAAAATATCTAAGAGCAAAAAGAAGCTCTTAAGTCTGAGTTTAAGTGTCATCTGCCTCAGAGCATATCTGAACAAAGTGATTAAAAATATTCAAGACCTGAGTTTTAATTTAGTATCTTCCCCTTTTCTGATTTTAATTGTTACACTGACCCTGGTGGGTAGATTTATCGTAATTTCTTAATTGCCTTTGTTAATTTGGAGTTGGTTGTTAAAATAAAAGAGCTGAGTACCTGGGGCTGGGGTGCATAACAAACCCACCAACTCCATTTAAATTTAGTTCCCTTCTCTATTTCCACCCATTTGTTTCACTTTATTTTATTATTTTTACACAGCTCCTGGTGGGTAGTTGTTGTAATGTGTTAATTGACTATTTTTTGTGCAATTGTTGCTGGGTTCTGCCTGAATTGGGTTTTGGCTTCTAGACAGGGAAAGTAGATCAGAAGGGAAAGGTGAAAACTGAGATTTGTACTATTTGCAGATTAACAATAAAACCTTCCAGGTCTTTTGCTACCTAATTTGATATATGGATATCAGTGTATAAAACATTGCATTCCTCAACTGGGGGAAATATCCTCTCAGCAGCTATCCTGTCAAGCCAAACAAGAAAAATCATTTATCTTTCAATGAGACTCCTCTCGTGCTTCTAAAACTGAGAGAATATATTGACTATGAGCAAGTTATTTTCAGTTTAATTGGATCCCATCTAGAAACTCCCATTCAATTTTGGGCACTGTGCCTCAGGAAAAACAAATAACTCAAAACTAAATACATTATAGATTCATCATAAATAATTAAAATTATGATGAAACACTGCGTAAACTTGATTTGCATACTTACATCTTCAGAAAGATGAAGAGTGGTTTAATCTTGGTCTCTAAGATGATAAATGGTTCAACTGTACAAGTACTGTATCTATCAATGTCAATTGTATGGACAGGCAGATTGACCATGTGACCCCCACTAACTTCCCTCTCAACATCTCCCAGACAGAAATCCAGCAACCCATAATGACATCACACTGGGGCCTTAATTGTTTCAGGGTGGGCTTCTTTTTCCTGTATTTGGGAGGAAATCCTTCCCTTGAGAGCTCTGTCAATCAGTGGCTCCAGAATTGAGTAGTGGCCACTGCTGTGACTACAAACAGTCCTAAGGAAGAAGCGAAGATGATTCCTAGGCAGGCTCAGCTGCAGACCCCAGCGAGGGAGTAGGGGGTTCATAGAATAGAATCTCTACAGTGTGGAACCAGGCCATTCGGCCAAAAAATCCATACCGACTCTCCAAACAGCATCCCACCCACACACTGTATCCCTGTAACCCTGCATTTCCCATGGCTAATCCACCTAACCTACGCATCCCTAGACACTATGGGCAATTTAACATGGCCAATCCACTTAACCTGCTCATCCCTAGACATTACGGGCCATTTAACATGGCCAATCCACCTAACCTGCACATGTCTGGACTGTGGGAAGAAACCAGAGCACCTGGAGGAAATGCACACAGACACGGGGAGAATGTGCAAACTCCACACAGGCAGTCACCCGAGGCTGGAGTTGAACCTGGATTCCTAGCACTGTGAGGCAGCAGTGCTAACCACTGAGCCACCGTGCTGCCCCAAGTTAGGAGTTCGGATAGAGAGGCTAGGCTCAGTGGGAGGGTTGAAAGGAGATTGAGATATGCCCCAAATATGACATAGGAGGCTCCCAATTCTTTCTTGCTAACAGCAACCCACACAGTTAAAACCTTGGGGTGTTCACCTTGGCCCCGCCTTATCTTGTTAACTAAACAATTGCCATAAAGGTGGATTGTGCCTTTACGTTGTAGTTAATTGGTCAAAGAATACATTCAAAAAGATTAAGCACAGGCCAGATGGCTTTACCCTCTCTCCGTAATTTGGGGAACAGGTCAGGTGATTGGGCAGAAGTGCAGCTAGCTGGCCACCAGTTTTTAATTCACAAATTCGAACCCACCTTCAAATACTTTGAGGCCCGTAAATTCCAACTGACGATCTTAAAATCAAAGTTAGGTTCTTTAGGAGTGCCACTGAGAAACCTGTCTATCTTACACATGGTCTAGAGATTTTGGAATTCTCTGTCCCCAAAAACTCAAGTTGCTGGATGCATTGAAATGCTAAGGCTGAGGTGAATACGTTTGTTTTAAAAGCATGAAGAGATATGAAACAAAGGCAGGCGCATAAAATTGTAGTACAGATGAGCCACAACCTAACTGAATGACAAAAACTGGCTTGAGAGGGTGAATGACCTTTGTCCTTTCCCTACACAAATAATGAAATGGTTGTCAGTTGACAGGAAGAGCTTGAAAGTATCCGTTGACATAAAACTGCACTTGCTAGCATTAAAATAGCAAAGCTTACATATCTTACATTGGATCAAGCAATAAAATAAAAATTCCACTTTGATATTCTATTTAATGTTTCATTGGCTTAATTACTGCTGACTGTTGACAGGGAGAACAGATGCGATGGCAGATTTGAGAAAGTGATGTTCCAATGTACTCACTCGTATCTCAGACATTGGCCCACCAGGATCAGCTGACCTTGCAGTTGTTTCTGTTAATTCATTTTAAAGAATAGAGCACGCTGTTAGGACTGCTGACCTTTATTGAATGAATTAGATGCCAATGCATTTGTACAATTTACCCTGTGATCTCCCACCTGCAGAAGCCAGTACACCAGCCAAACAAAATCCTCTGTCTGCTTAGGTTGAGTATTCATGGACTGGAAGGCAGGATGTTAGAATTTGATGTTTGTAAAATGATAGGGGGGAATTCTCTAAGTTCTCAGAGTAACCATCATCTAAATAAAAGGTATAACGACACTCTTACCTAATATTCCTGACAGAAGAATTTGATGGAGAAAGGTGTTTCAGACTGAGGATCAGCAGTGAGGGCACAAAGCATTCCGGAAGATGTATCCTGGCTGTAATTTTGAGAGATTAAGTTTTAATTTTTTAAAAATTAATTTTGTTTATATAAGTGGGACCTGTATTTATTGGAACAGCACACCGTTAGAATTTTGTTTTATTCAGGATTAGTTCATAGTTAAGGGGGAATTGTTTGGTTTATTAGTAGTTCTGTTAATTTGCTCACTGTTACAATTGGATAAATAAGTTGTTACTTGTTGATGACAGAGTGAGTGAAAGTATTTTATTTTACTTAACTACTTCTTTATAATCGATTGGGAGGTGAGAGGCTATTTGCTCAGAAATGTTCTAAGAGCAGAAGCTGATAACGAAATAATGAGGGAAACAGGACATCTGGGATCTTAGAGAACTGTGAACAATGGGACATAAGTGTATCTTCTCTGAAAATAAAATTTAACAACTAGGCGATTGAAGAGACAAAGGAGTGAGAATGTGAGGGAAGAACCAGAGTGTGAACTCTGATGTTAATTAGGTATATTAAGAGGAATTTCTTTATCAGTGTCTTTTCACTTATCTGTCTTTTGGGGAATAGTGGAGAGGTGGTGGAAACATTCCTCAGATGATAAAAAAAAATTCAATGGGGTTATGTACGTCCCTTCTGCGATTAACGTGTCCTGATGAGGAACTTCAACTGAGACAACTGGGCCCAAAGAATGAGACAACATCGTTGTACCACAAGATCTCCTAGTAAAAGGAATACAGAGAAGAAAAAAAAGTGGATTAGTAGACAGATTGAAAGAGACAAGATGGAAAAATTCCAGAGAAAAAAATGTATTAAAAATGAAAACTTTAAAATCTTTAACAACAATTCACTTCATGAAAGAATCAGTTAGCACACTTTTCATTGTTCACTTTCTGGATAAGAGACGGTGGTTGACAATTATTCATAACCATCATAATGTTAGAAGGGTACTTATGCTGTAAATCATTTGTTTTATGGGCAATGATTGTACAAATGCTGCAACTTAACAAAAAAACACAAGAAGGTTAGAGGCAAGTTGTTTTCTTTGTGAGGCTAATGGTTTAGTTATGCAAATCAGCCAGTAGCTTTTGGCATTGCATTAATAGGTGAAATCTCATCACATAGCTGAATGATTTGCAAATGATTAGCAGCAAGCATTATTCATGCAATGTTATTTTCCAGTAAGTTCTGTGCCTTGAACTAATTATACAGGCATTACAATTATACTCTTTAATGAAAAGGTTTCCAGTGACAATACTTTATTAATTTCCATGTTGGCTAGCTGCAGAGGCAGAATGTGCTGAAATAGCCTGCTCAAAACTCCTTAACATAAGATAAATTATCACTGTGTTAGCAAACATGTTTCTGTTTGCTAGCTTAACATGTTGAAAAGCAGAAATCTTCTCATTATTTTTCTCTCTACTTCTGGCAATTGATTTCAAGTACTGCAATGAATATTTAAAATGAAACAGTGACGTTCTTCTTTCTTCAGCAATGTGATAAATTGTCAGATGATGAAGTCAGGAGGTTAAAGCTTCTTTCTTATGCGGAAGAGAGGTTGCAGTTTGTGGGATGGGAGGTATTATAAGTAACCACTGAAGATTAAAAAAATAGAGTGGATGTTTATTACAGGTGATAGGTGGGTGGAGGGGTCTTCCAGGCTTCCCACGGATTGTCATCACATTAAGCCCGTACCGTTTTAATTTTGACAGCCAAGACTCTGAAAATTCACTGCTACCTGCCTGTGTGGTTTCGGGTGGTGGTGGCGGCATCCGTCCAACTGAAGGCAGACTCGCATTGAATCTACGAACAAATTCACTTCTTAAAAGAAGGTATCGTTATTCAGCGTTACTGTTGGGGAAACTTTACACAAAAGCATGATTTTCTTGTTCCCGAGGCACACCAGCAGAGGTAGGCAGGTCAGTTCTGTTGCCCTCATGTGGCAGGAAACTGCAGAAGCAGAAACTGTAGCAGGATACGAATGAGGTGGTAGACTATCGCATTGCTGTTACCCCCCGGCGCTTGGATTCGGTGTCGCAAATGCTTTAATGACCTCATTTGGACAACAAAGGTGGGAATCGTTTCTCCCCGCAATATAATGTCTGCACTGACAACCTTTCATGGTGATCCACTAATCACCATCTGTACAAGTCATTCCAAACTTACACTTTGCTATTTCGCTTTGAAAGCATTGTTAATAGTCGGCATTTATCTGGGGCAATCGCAAAGCATTTCACTCCTCTGCTACTTCATCTCACACCATTTTCATGCATATAAATAACATGACATCCTATTCTAAACTTCGGACTTTTCTATCCCGCCAGAATGTGCACAGTGAATGAAATTTTTTTCTTAAATGTTTTAGTTTCTATTGAATGTTGATGTCACTGCCAAGACCTATATTTGTTTCCCTTGACAGTAAGAACAAAGAACAAAGAAAATTGCAGTACAGGAACAGACCCTTCGGTCCTCCAAGCCTGCACCAACATGTTGCCCGTCACAACTAAGACCCCCGACCCTTTCGGGGACCGTATCCCTCTATTCCCATCCTATTCATATATTTTTCAAGACGCCCTGTAAAAGTCACTATTGTATCTGCTTCCACTATCACCCCGGCAGCAAGTTCCAGGCAGCCACCACCCTCTGTGTAAAAAACTTGCCTCATACATCACCTTTAAACCTTGCCCCTCGCACCTTAAACCCATGGCCCCTGGTAACTGACTCTTCCACCCTGGGAAAAAGCTTCTGACTGTCCATTCTGTCCGTGCCCTTCATAATCTTGTAGACATCTATCAGGTCACCCATCAACCTCCATCGTTCCAGTGAGAACAACCCAACTTTCTCCAACCTCTCCTCATAGCTAACACGCTCCATACCAGGCAACATCCTGGTAAATCTTTTCTGTACCCTCTCCAAAGCCACCACATCCTTCTGGTAGTGTGGCAACCAGAATTGAACACAATATTCCAAATGTGGCCTAACTAAGGTTCTATAAAGCTGCAACATTACCTGCCAATTTTTAAACTCAGTGCCCCGGCCAATGAAGACAAGCATGCCATATGCATTGTTAATTACCTTTTCCACCTGCATTGCCACTTTCAGTGACCTGTGTACCTGTACACCCAGATCCCTCTGCCTATCAGTACTCTTAAGGGTTCTTCCATTTACTGTATATTTTCCATCTGGATTAGACCTTCCAAAATGCATTACCTCACATTTTTTCTGGATTAAACTCCATCTGCCATCTTTCTGCCTAAGTCACCAACCGATCTATATCCTGCTGTATCCTTTGATGGGGTCCTCATCACTATCCGCAATTCCACCAACCTTTGTGTCATCAGTAAACTTATTAATCAGACCAGTTACATTCCCTTCCAAATCATTTATATATATATTACAAAAAGCAAAGGTCCCAACACTGATCCCTGAGGAACACCACTAGTCACAGCCCTCCATTCAGAAATGCACCCTTCCACTACTACCCTCTGTCTACTATGACCGAGCCAGTTTTTTAATCATCTTGTAAGTTCACCTCTGACCCTGTGCGACTTTACTTTCTGTATCAGCCGGCCATGAGGGACCTTGTTAAAGGCCTTACTGAAGTCCATGTAGACAGCATCCACTGCCCTACCCTCATCGATCATCTTCGTCACTTCCTCAAAAAACTGAACCAAGCTGTTGAGACACAACCTCCCCTTCACAAAACCATGTTGCCTCTTGCTAATACGCCCATTGATTTCCAGTTGGGAGTAAATCCTGTCTCAAAGAATCCTCTCCAATAATTTCCCTACCACTGACGTAAGGTTCACCGGCCTGTAATTAGCTGGATTATCCTTGCCACCATTCTTAAACAAAGGAACAACATTGACTATTCTCCAATCCTCTGGGACCTACCCTGTAGCCAGTGAAGATACAAAGATTTCCCTCAAGGCCCCAGCAGTTTCCTCCCTTGCCTCTCTCAGTATTCTGGGGTATATCCCATCAGGCTCTGGGGACTTGTCTACCTTAATGTTTTTCAAGACCCACAATACCTCCTCCCTTTTGATCTCAACATGCCCCAAAGTATCTACACACCCTTCACCAGACTCATCATCCACCAAGTCCTTCTCTGTGGTGAATACTGACGCAAAGTACGCATTTAATACCTCACCCATTTCCTCTGGCTCCACACTCTAATTCCCTTCCCTATCCTTGAGTGGGCCAACCCTCTGCCTGGCTACCCTCTTGCCCTTTATATATGTATAAAAAGCTTTGGGATTTTCCTTAATCCTGTTGGCCAATGACTTTTCATGACCCATTTTAGCCCTCCTGACTCCTTGCTTAAGTTTCTTTTGACTTTTCTTGTATTCCACCCTTGCTTCGTGTGTTCCCAGCCTCCAGCCTTGACAAATGCTTCTTTTTTCTTTTTGATTAGGCTCACAATATCTCTCATTATCCAAGATTCCCTAAACTTGCCATACTTATCCTTCATCCTTAAAGGAACGTGCCGGTCATTAAGTGTCAATCATGTTACCATGCATCTAGAGTTACGCACAAACTAAGCCAGATAAGGATTGCAGTTTCTGAGCTCTTACAAGATGGCACAGTGGCTCAGTCAATAGCACTGCTGCCTCACAGCACCAGGGACCTGGGTTTGATTCCAGACTTGGAGTGACTGTTTGTCTGTGTGAAGTTTGCACGTTTTCCTGTATCTGTGTGAATTTCGTCTGAGTGGTCCAGTTTCCTCCCTGACCAAGTATGTACAGATTAGGTGGATTGGCTGTGAAACATGCAGGGTTATAGGGTAGAGGGCTGGTGGGATGCTCTTTGGGGTTCAGTATGGCTTGCTGCCATAGTGTTGAGATTTTATGGTTCTATAAGAGCATATTTAAAATATGTCTCACAGAGACATATACAACTCAAATTTAAGATGGCTGACATTTTCACCTTTGATGAATAATAGCTCCACAAAGCAAAGTAAATTTTATTGGAGTTCCCTGTGGTGAATTCAGTCTCCATATTTTTTTTCAGAATTTTGCCTTCTCACACCTTTAATAGAACCCATTGTCTTTGCCCAATGGTTAATCAAATTCTGCTTGTCTACCTTTGT